GTGGGCTCTGCCTGCAGCACAGAGGACAATGCTCCATGTCCTCTGGGTCACCCAGCACAGCCCCACTGGGGGGTGAGCCCAGGGCAGAGCCAGGGCAGAGCTGCTCCATTGCAGGGTCCCAGACACCTCCACCCAAAATGCCAGGGAGAGGCTGCAGCTGCTGCCCCTGCCTGACACAAACAGCATCTAGTGGTGCCAGGGGAGGTTTAGGTTGGAGATTAGGAACAATTCCTTCCCCTCCAGGGTTGCCCAGGGCTGTGCCAGGCTGCCCAGGGCAGTGGTGGAGTCCCCACCCCTGGAGGGGTTTCCAAGCCGTGGAGATGTGGGGTGAGGGACACGGGGCAGTGGGGACCTGGCAGGGCTGGGTTAGCCCTTGGACTCAATGCTTTTAAAGGTCTCTTCCTGCCAAAACGATTGTGACTGTTTGTGATTCCCATTGCCCCGGGAGCAGCAGGCAGGGCTGGCAGCATGCCGGGCGTGTGGGGAGAGGGGACACAGGCGGGGCTCAGCCCCGCCTGCCCTGTGTCCCCAGTGCAGCCACCAGGGCTCCGACAACTGCACCTACAGGAACTTCAGCAGCGCGGCGCAGGCGGTGACCGAGTGGTACATCCTGCAGTCCACCAGCATCCTCTCCAGGGTGCCGCTGCAGGAGAGGATCAGGATGGGCTACCAGGCAGAGGACATGATCCTGGCGTGTCTCTACGGGGCTGAGCCCTGCAACTACAAGTAGGTCACACCGAGCTCCCGGCCCGTTTCTGTCACCTCGGGGAGGGTACAGGACGTGAGGGGCACGGCAGCCTTTCTCTTCTCTTTTTAGGGTGTATGTCAGTTAATACAGAGATTTCTGCTGGTCCTTAGCTCTAAGAGCATTTCCCAGAGGGTTTGTGGGTGTGACCCTGGATAAAGCGAGTTATTTTGGGATAGTACTGGCATGAGCTTTAGTTTTGGATGGGCTGTTTTGCTCCTGACACTCTGAGACTAACAGCATCCCCGGGGCCTTCCCAGGGGGTTCAGTGACAAGCAGCTGCCAACCCCAGTGCTGCTGACGTACCCCAGTCACAGCCCCTCTTCTCTTTTACATAAGGTTCTGAGAAATGTGTTTTAGCCATTGTTGTTTCCTCCAAATGCCAAATTTATATATTGGGTTTTGAGAAACGTGAGCGCAGAGCAGCAGCCCAGGCTGGAAGGAGTTCAGCCCTCCTGTGAAGAGGGCAGCAGAGAATTGTTATCAAAGAGCGAGATGTAACGTCAGCCAAAGCCTATTACCAGGGCTCAGATCAAGCAATTATTTCTCTCATCTGTGTGACAGATCACTCCCATCCACTCTGACAAAGCCCTGTCCCCAGTGGCTGTCTCTGCACACACCAGTACCTTGCGCTGCTTTTTTTTCAACAGCAGATTGATTGAAATTATGTCAGCTGAAGTTTCTATACAGGCATTCAACAAAGAAAGTGATTTCAAGTGAATCCCGGCCGCAGCTGCCAGGCGCTGGTCCCATTGCACCAGAGGCATTCTTTTATAAACCTTTGGTCCTCCCCGAGAATCACAGCTTTATGTGGCTGATTCTTCCAGGAATTTCACCCAGATCTATCACCCAGACCATGGTAACTGCTACATCTTTAACTGGGGCATGGATGAGGAGGCTTTGAATTCTTCAAACCCCGGAGCCGAGTTCGGTAAGAGGCAGGAGCCCGAGGAGACGTCCTGGGGGTTGCTCTGTCCCTCAGCAGCCGTTTCTGTCAGGCAGAACAGATTTCTGAATTCTGTGTCTCTGTTGCACTGCAGCAGAGAGGAACAGTTTTCCAGGGGGAAATAAGCCCCCCACAGGAAAATGTGACTAGTAATGGGACTACAGCTGTTACTTTGCAGAAGTGTAACATCTGGATAGTCAAAATCTGGAGCAATGTCTGGACACCCACTCAGACGTTCCCACCCTGTGCCTCCACCACTGTGCCTGTTGATGCACACGTGAGGCTGACACGACAGCCAGGCCCCGGCTGTCCCACCAAGGACAGGGATTCTTGTGCACAGTGAAGGAAAACAGACTTTTTTTTCCCCCAAGAGACCTGCATTTTGATACAATTCCTGTTCTGAGTGTTTTCTGTGGTGTCCCAGGGCTGAAGTTAATCCTGGACATCAGCCAGCAGGACTACATCCCCTACCTGTCCTCTGCGGCCGGGGCCAGGCTCATGCTGCACCAACAGAAGAGCTTCCCCTTCCTGAAGGACCAGGGCATCTACGCCATGGCCGGGACAGAAACCTCCATCGGGGTGCTGGTGGTATGTGTGGCATTCCTCTGCAGCAGATTGTCTGAGAATAATGTTATCTGATGGGACCGGGACCAAGTTTGCTTTAAGTCTTGGCTGAACTGGCTCAAACCAAAGGAGTCAAGGTATACACTAGCTGTGGGCTGGAACAGTTTATGGAGACTTTTATGTAACTGTCCTGGCAAAGTGCTTTATTGAAGCCAAAATAGCGAGCTCGGGTCATTGTTCCCTCTTCCTTTAGCATGTCAGAAGCTGCCTTGCTGAGACACGCTGCTCTTGAACAACCTCCCCGGCCTCGATCCGCCCTGGGCGATGGGCTGCAGCTCCTTCAGCCCTGCCGCCTGCAAACCAAAGGGCTTTATTTAGAAAGCTGTCGTGGAACACAGGAATTAGAGTCTCTAGAAATCGGGTGCCAGGGAGCCGGGGAGGAGTGATGACACTGCAGTCTGCTCCTCTGCTTTCCAGGATGAGCTGGAGCGGATGGGCTATCCCTACAGTGACTGCACCAACAACGGCTCTGACGTCCCCATCAGAAACCTCTACAGCCAGTACAATACCTCCTATTCCATACAGGTAAAACACATCTTTAAATCAAACAACGCTGTTCAGGGAAAATCCCCAAAGCTGTTAGAAACTTTGACCAGCGTGCAGGAGAAATGGAGTGTCAGGAATGGGAAAGCAGAAAGCGTAACCCAAACACAGAAACCTCTTCTGGTATTGAATCCACACTTGAGTCTGAACACACAGTAGCCCCAGGTCTGGAAATGATCCCAGGGGATCCAGTGGGAATAACTGCAGATTGCAGGAGCAAGACCTAACGATGCAGGTACTAAACTTGCATCAATAGTGAAGGAGCGTGGCTCTGGCAGGAGCACAGTGCAGCTTAATCTCTGGCTTTCACTCGCACAGCAGAGCAGCTTGTATGGCCAGGAAAGAGCATCAGTAGTGACGGTTCCCTTAGCTGGGTCTGAATTTTGTTTCATTTTGAGAGGATGAAAATGGTAAATTCTTTCATTTTCTCCAAAGCCAAAGCCTAGCAAACCCCAGGATCTCTGCAGTTACACAGGACCCTACTGTGTGCAACCTACCAGCAAAGTGCTCACTTGCAGACAAAAAAAAAGCAAATAGTTTTCCTCCATGCATGAGCACAGGTTAGTGCTGGTCCTTTCCTCGTAGCCTGCTGCTGCAGAGCTCAGCTCCCCATCACCCTGAACACCAGGTAAAGCAGAGCAGGCTGTGCCGGGGTCCCTCAGGCCCTCAACACCCACCCTTTTCTATAGGTTTTCCCCAGTTTTTGGCTTCCTGTGCATCCTTGGCTGCCATCACACATGGGCCGATGCTGCTCTGCCACCTGCCCACCAGGGCCCCAGCAGGGAGCAGGTTTTCTCCTTTCACAGGAGTAACTGCTCCTGCCATGGCATTAAGGCATTTAGCTTCTGTTTCAGCTGTGAGAACATCCTTTTCTTCCCTACAGTTTCCTAGCCTGGCTGAAATCTTCTCGTTATAGGCAGACCGAGTGACAAGGTGCAGGCTCTGGTCGCCACCCGTGCCCAGCAGCCTGAGGGGCCCTCGAGCAGCCTCGGTGCCCGCGTGTGCCACGGTGACCAGGA